TGGACATCAACTGTTTTTTCACGAAAAGGCCCACATGGTTTTAATTCCTATGAAAGTGAGGGACCACGCTTGTGTTGTTCGACAACAGGGATGGGAGGGCAAAATTGGTAATTTCCGAGTATAGTTGTGAAGTTTGTTTGACAAAAATGAGATGCACCTAATCTAGTTGATGTTTCATTATTTTTCACTGGTTGACCAATTAATAACCACTAGAACTAATGACACGGAATTTCAAGATAACTCAAGTTATAATAGACGTGCTGTAAATTTAAACTTCTTAAATTTAAATTTTGATAATTATTTAGAGTCAGGCTATGAAGAATTTATCCCTCATGAATATCATGTTCCAAGCATGGATAGTTTGTCACTGACTAAAACGAAAATGAAATTAATCAAAGTATATGTAAATTAATTTGAACACTTTGACCATTGAACTAAAAAAAAAAAAAGAACCCTAAGAAATCAATCATTATCTTTGCTAAGTGGAGTTGACTAGGCTATACCAAATTTGTTACTTAGAAGATATTGAGACCCTAATTTCTCACATGATAGTCTTGCCATCAAAGTCGAGGAGGGCAAGTTCTTGTTGTTCTTCNACTAGGCTATACCAAATTTGTTACTTAGAAGATATTGAGACCCTAATTTCTCACATGATAGTCTTGCCATCAAAGTCGAGGAGGGCAAGTTCTTCTTGTTGTTCACTTATGGCCTTTGTTGGAAACTTAAGTGGTACGTCTTAGAAACCAGTTCCAAAGGACAAAGCGCAAGTCTGCCTCTAACCAATTGTGTAGAGTAAAGACGAATCGATTGGAATAATCCAAATATTAAAAATTTCACATAATAAATACCGTTTGATAAAATAAAATATTTTATCAATGTGTTTGAAAGATATTGATGAGGCCGAGACATGCAAGTCATTGCATTTAAATGTACAAGTTACATAGATTGAATTTAACTGTATCATAACTCAAGCATGATTGAGAAACAAGACAAGTGCCGGGCCTAGGCATAGACACTACAGTCAAAGGTGCTTGCATAGGTCCCAAATTTAAGAGGAGCCCCTAAATTTTAGAGGGTCTTCAAAAAAAAGAAATTTAGTATTGACGAGCCTAAATCTAATTGAGTCAGACCTAGTAAATCAAGTAAGTCTAGATCCACTAAGAAGGCAGTCCAAGTTCAGTTCATCAATCCGACCCAATTCAAGATCTAAGGAGTCCATGAAGAAAGTGTATGTGGGGGAGAGATCATCGGAATTGATACACAAGAATTAATTATATTCATCTTTAGTAACTATCCTCCCTGAAGAAATAGTGCCCTCACGTCACCGTCTCGCCGCTTCACCATGCTTATAAATTGTAAGTATTCTCTACATGAGAGGGCACCTCTGAACATCTCCCAACACACCTTGGCACTCTCTACACATATAGTTTTTCTCTCTTAACTATTATACCTCTCTCGAAACTTTCTGTCTGTTACTTTATTTATCAATAAAGACTCCCAGTCACTGCTGCCATTTTTTGAAAGTGGAGTAGGTCATCCGTACCGAACTACTATATATATGTTTGTTGACCCGATATTTACTGTTTTGTCATTGATTGCTTAATTTATTGTCCATTAATTACACCATATTACACACTCGATTGTTGATCTTGCACGAGTCAGTTTTGTGCATCATCAAGTATAATAGGTCTCTTTTTTTTTTTTTTGTATTTTAGATATGATCTAAATTTTTAGGGTCCAAATTTTTAAAGTTCAAATTAATATCTAATTTCGTTAAGTTTAAAATTACTCTTGACTTAGTTAAGTCTAATTTTTAGAGGGCTCCCAAAAATTTATTCTTTTAGCAGAGTAGGCATTTTTTTTTTTTTTGTATTTTAGGTATGATCCAAATTTTAAGAGTTCAAATTAATAACTAATTTTGTTAAGTCCAAAATTATTCTCTATTTTATTAAGCACACGTGCGATTCTTTCAGAGAATATCACGTGATCATTTTCGTCAAAAATTTAATAAATNGATCCAAATTTTAAGAGTTCAAATTAATAACTAATTTTGTTAAGTCCAAAATTATTCTCTATTTTGTTAAGCACACGTGCGATTCTTTCAGAGAATATCATGTGATCACTTTCGTCAAAAATTTAATAAACCGTTCGCATAGGAACTGTTTAAACATAAACTAAATATTTTGAGGACTAAATTATTAAAATTGGTACAATAGGGACCAAACTGATGTATAGAGACCACAAAAATTATTAACTCAAAAAAATTAGAGAGAATTACACTCAGGCCCCTTGAAGTTTGGCACTTAATTACTTAACTAACATTTCAAATATTACACACAGACTCCCTGAAGTTTGTACACTCATAACCCTTAGATCTTTACTGTCAATATCCGTTAGAATATTTGTTACTAAATTATACTCAAACCCCTTAAAATTTATAAGCGTGTAATACTTAGATCCCTCAAGTTTAAAATGTTATACTTAAACTAAAAATAATTCAATCAAAGATATAATATCAAATATTTTAAATTTTATAACCAAAATTCATGTTCTACCATGTCATTTATTAAAATAAAAAAAATTATTTTTTTCTTTAAAAATTTATAATTAGTATACAATTAATTATAATATTTATTAAATAATCAAATTACCCCCATTAAAGATAGAAGATATTGTGTCAATTATAATTTGACCCCTTATTTATTTTTTTTTAGTTTTATTCTAATAGATAATATAATTGTATACTAATTTTTTTTTTTGAATTTTTTTTATTTTATATTAATAAATAACATAATATAACATGAATTTTGGTTATAAAATTTAAAATATTTGACATTCTATCTTTGATTGGAGTATTTTTTGTCTAAATTTAATATTTTAAACTTGAAGGTTNTGTTCTTCTTGTTGTTCACTTATGGCCTTTGTTGGAAACTTAAGTGGTACGTCTTAGAAACCAGTTCCAAAGGACAAAGCGCAAGTCTGCCTCTAACCAATTGTGTAGAGTAAAGACGAATCGATTGGAATAATCCAAATATTAAAAATTTCACATAATAAATACCGTTTGATAAAATAAAATATTTTATCAATGTGTTTGAAAGATATTGATGAGGCCGAGACATGCAAGTCATTGCATTTAAATGTACAAGTTACATAGATTGAATTTAACTGTATCATAACTCAAGCATGATTGAGAAACAAGACAAGTGCCAGGCCTAGGCATAGACACTACAGTCAAAGGTGCTTGCATAGGTCCCAAATTTAAGAGGAGCCCCTAAATTTTAGAGGGTCTTCAAAAAAAAAATTTAGTATTGACGAGCCTAAATCTAATTGAGTCAGACCTAGTAAATCAAGTAAGTCCAGATCCACTAAGAAGGCAGTCCAAGTTCAGTTCATCAATCCGACTCAATCCAAGATCTAAGGAGTCCATGAAGAAAGTGTATGTGGGGGAGAGATCATCGGAATTGATACACAAGAATTAATTATATTTATCTTTAATAACTATCCTCCCCGAAGAAATAGTGCCCTCACACTCACGTCACCGTCTCACCGCTTCACCATGCTTATAAATTGTAAGTATTCTCTACATGAGAGGGCACCTCTGAACATCTCCCAACACACCTTGGCACTCTCTACACATATAGCTTTTCTCTCTTAACTATTATACCTCTCTCGAAACTTTCTGTCTATTACTTTATTTATCAATAAAGACTCTCAGCCACCGCTGCCATTTTCTGAAAGTGGAGTAGGTCATTCGTACCGAACCACTATATATATGTGTGTTGACCCGATATTTACTGTTTTGTCATTGATTGCTTAATTTATTGTCCATTAATTACACCATATTACACACTCGATTGTTGATCTTGCACGAGTCAGTTTTGTGCATCATCAAGTATAATAGGTCTTTTTTTTTTTTTTTTGTATTTTAGATATGATCTAAATTTTTAGGGTCCAAATTTTTAAAGTTCAAATTAATATCTAATTTCGTTAAGTTTAAAATTATTCTTGACTTAGTTAAGTCTAATTTTTAGAGGGCTCCCAAAAATTTATTCTTTTAGCAGAGTAGGCATTTTTTTTTTTTTTGTATTTTAGGTATGATCCAAATTTTAAGAGTTCAAATTAATAACTAATTTTGTTAAGTCCAAAATTATTCTCTATTTTATTAAGCACACGTGCGATTCTTTCAGAGAATATCACGTGATCATTTTCGTCAAAAATTTAATAAATCGTTCGCATAGGAACTGTTTAAACATAAACTAAATATTTTGAGGACTAAATTATTAAAATTGGTACAATAGGGACCAAACTGATGTATAGAGACCACAAAAGTTATTAACTCAAAAAAATTAGAGAGAATTACATTCAGGCCCCTTGAAGTTTGGCACTTAATTACTTAACTAACATTTCAAATATTACACACAGACTCCCTGAAGTTTGTACACTCATAACCCTTAGATCTTTACTGTCAATATCCGTTAGAATATTTGTTACTAAATTATACTCAAACCCCTTAAAATTTATAAGCGTGTAATACTTAGATCCCTCAAGTTTAAAATGTTATACTTAAACTAAAAATAATTCAATCAAAGATATAATATCAAATATTTTAAATTTTATAACCAAAATTCATGTTCTACCATGTCATTTATTAAAATAAAAAAAATTATTTTTTTCTTTAAAAATTTATAATTAGTATACAATTAATTATAATATTTATTAAATAATCAAATTACCCCCATTAAAGATAGAAGATATTGTGTCAATTATAGTTTGACCCCTTATTTATTTTTTTTTAGTTTTATTCTAATAGATAATATAATTGTATACTAATTTTTTTTTTTGAATTTTTNGAGAGAGAGAGAGAGACGTAGGTATGAACAACAAGGACATCACATTAATCTGCACATATACAAGGTAGTATAAATCCCAAAATTATATCATATATGGAGTACGCATAAAGAATCAACAAATACGATGAAACAAGTGTGTTAATGTTAAATTCAATCAGCGCATAGCCTATAAAGCTCCTCCAACGGTGGCATCTCCATGAGCAACCTATCAAAATCCTTGAACGACAACTCTTTTGAAAAAAATGAATCACCACCAGAAATTTTCGCCGGAGCTCCAACCCTACTAGTCTTCCTCCCGGTGGACGATGATGACTCAACCTCCACAATGGAATCTTTTCCGGTGAGTCTCTGAACCACAGACTTGAAGCTTACGGCATCGGTCTCTATATACTGAGTGTTGATAATCACCACCTTCACAGGCTCTCTAGTGCCGCCGGACATGGATTTTCCGGCAGAAGAATCCATGATATGAGTTTTTTGATAACGGGTTTAGATATATTTAGGGTTTTGTGCTTTTGATTTGGGTTTGAAGTGGATGGTGGTTATATAGTGGATTGGCGTTGCGGAGCAAGAAATGTACGGTTCACGGCTAGCAGTTAAGTTGGTTGACCGCCGCCTCAAGGCAGTCTAGAAGGACTTTGGGCCTGGTCAAAGCACGTAATTGCAGAAAAAATCATGCTCCTTGCACGTGACAGGAAAGTACGGATTGGACTAGGTGTTCCATATGGAGACTTGCTAATTTCACATGTGAATTCGATACAAAATTGGTTCCTTATTATCTTGTTTGTGTGAGCTATAGTAGATTTGAGGTATTACTGAGAGTTCGGTACATTGGATAAATATTCGAATTTTTTCATTCCATGTTTAGTTTCAACTCTCCTCAACTACAATAGTTTAGTGAAATTAAATTTATTATTCAATGCTCAGAGTATATGGTGAGGTCTTAATTTTAACCCCGACATGAATGTTGTGAAATCTTTTACAAATAATTGTATGGTATTGAGGAACAATACTCCCTAACGGATTATGGAGTAATTTGTTTGCAAATATATTTTAGGCACCCAAAAAAAATAATTAAATTCAGGGTCAAAAGGACGATCCCGTTAAACCTAGGTAATAAACGATTTGGCACGAATATGTCTAAAAAGATACAATTTCCTTAAATGTGACCTAGTCACTACATGAATATAATTTTACATAATTATAAATAAGTCAAAAATGAATGTAATTTTGTTTAACAAAGATACAAACCCAACAAGGCACCATCCTTTATGTCATGGGGTAACAACTCGTTTTTCGTTTCGAGGCTACCTGTGTAGGCGTTGTTATTGCAACCAGCCACTCAATCTCAAGAACAAGGGACAGAAACTCACATAGAAGGCACACACGAATTTATTAGGACAACACTCCCAAACCTTATATATTGAATTCAACAATTTAAAAGGAACTCTCAAAGCTAGAACAATCTCTCTGACCATCAGAATACCCAAGCACTCCTATTTATACAAGATCATGGCAGATGACACCCTCATCTTCCAAAGGGTAGTTACCCATATTCTGCTATTACATAGCAAACTTGGCCAGCAGGCTTGATCTCTGTGCAACACTTGGCAGACAGTTTCACCCATTCAGTAACTGATGTGAAATTGTCCCCCATTAGCATGCATCTAGACTAGAATCTGATGAGGAACGCCCAGAACTACATCCCACAAACTAAGCCTTATTCAACAACTGCCCACATCCTCCTGGTCATATGCATTGAGCAGTCATGTGTCAGTCATGTGTCTAAATTCAATAGTCAGCCTTGCCTCACGAACCATTGTGTATGCTGGGTTCAGCCCATGCCATGCAATTCGAAATTATGCACCCACATTACCTCAATTGAGCCCACCACGTGCTGCCATGCTCAGCCGGGTGGTCTCATGCTGCCACAGTTCGCACCAATCTGTCGAACCGCATAGCTGCATGACCTTGATTCAATCTCATGGCGTGCCTTGGTGCAAGGTGCCACCAAGACTGCCATTATGCACCCAAGTCAATTAGGGTGTGACAAGTCACCCCCACCTGAAGTATCCAACGACCTCGTTGGAATGGAGGCATGGTACTGTTTGATGAGATTCTCGAACTGTCACAATATCGTCTCTTTCTCCCAAGTGGCTTCCTCCGGCGCTTTCCCTTTCCATTTTACTAGGTACTGAGTTCTTATGTTTTTCTTACTCATTCCCTTAGTCTTGTGGTCAAGAATAGCTTGTGTTATCTCTATGAATTGCTTCCTGATTGTTGGAGGTGCCCGATGCCGAACATATCTGCTAGGGTCCTCAACGTATGGCTTCAAGAAGGCAACGTGAAAAACTAGATAAAGCTTGAGGCGACTGGAAAGTTCCAGCCTATACGCCAACCTGTCAATCCTTCTTGTGATAAGGAAAGGGTCATCATAGTGCTGGATCAGTCCCTTATGTGCAGACTTCCGAGTGATCTTTTTTCAGATTGGTGGGGTCAGTTTCAGCATCACTTTGTCACCCACTTCAAACTCTACTGCCTTCCTTTTCTCATCTGTCCACTTCTTCATCCTCTTCACTGCCTTAGTCAGGCAATCCTTTGCCTCGTCGGTCCTCTCCTGGTTGGCCCGAGCGAAGCGGTATGCTACAGGACATCTCCCTCAAGACTTTTGCTTGGCAACTTTGTGGGGAGTAAGAGGCTATTGGCCGATTGCCAACTCGAATGGGCTCATTCCAGTGGAAGAGCTTTGCTGCAAATTATAACTGAATTGGGCTACATCAAGTAAATCCACCCAATTGTCCTAGTTCGTCGTGACATAATGTCTGAGATATTCTTCTAGCATTGCATTAACTTGCTCAGTCTGCCCATCTGTCTGTGGGTGATTGCTAGTGGAAAGGTTAAGCTGTGTGCCCAACAGTTCAAATAAGGCCGTCCAGAATCGGCCAGTAAACTGAGTGTCTCTATCACTGACTACATCCAACGAAAGACCCCAAAGCTTCACAATATGCTTAAGAAACAGCTGAGCAGTAACTTCAACAGAACATACTTTTGGAGCTGCAATAAAAGTGGCATACTTCGAAAATCTGTCTACAACCACAAATATCGAAGTAAAATCGTTCATCTTAGGCAAGCCATTAATGAAGTCCATGGAAACATTCTCCCAAGGTCTGCTTGGAATAGGGAGGGGTTCCAACGTACCCACCACCCTCTTCCTTTCTGTTTTGTCCTACTGACACACTAGACAAGTGCGCACATATAGCTCAACATCTGCTTCCATACGGGGTCAATAATAACTTTCTGCTAGCAAGGCAAGGGTCCGTTGCTGCCCTGGATGTCCTGACCACAAAGCATCATGAGTTTCTTTCAGCAACATCTATCTAAGTCCACTTGACTTCGGGACATAGGGTTTTCTTCCTTTGGCGTAGAGAATACCATCCTCTACCCAAAACCACCAAGTCACCCTTTCTTGGACCTGCTTCAGCAGTAAACTGGTCACGGNTAGATAGTTGTTTTTGACAGTAACTTTGTTGAGAGCTCTGTAATCAACACAAAGCCGTAAAAATCCATCCTTCTTTTTCTGAAACAGAATAGGGGCTCCATAGGGTGCCTTGGGAGGTCTAATGAACCCAATGTCCAACAGACCCCCAAGTTGTCTCCTTAGCTCCGCCAACTCTGATGGAGACCTTCGATAAGGAGCATGGGCAGGAATTTTTGCCCCTGACATCAACTCGATGACATGATCAATCTCCCGTCTTGGTGGTAATCTTGTTTGCATTTCTTTGGGTGACACGTCCTTGAATTCAGCCAGCAATTGTTGCACTGGTTCAGGGACTTGCACTATTTTGGACTCCTCTTCCTCAAACAGAACAGCTAAGTATGTTGTTTTTCCTCTCCGCAAGCCATCTTTTACTTGCAAGGCAAACAGTATTTCCCCCGAACACTTGGCCTTGGTGAGGGGAACAAAACAGGGGCTGGACATGTCTATCGCGAACATCCCATGCAAATGAGGTATAACAGACACCTTTGNCAGGGACTTGCACTATTTTGGACTCCTCTTCCTCAAACAGAACAGCTAAGTATGTTGCTTTTCCTCTCCGCAAGCCATCTTTTACTTGCAAGGCAGACAGTATTTCCCCCGAACACTTGGCCTTGGTGAGGGGAACAAAACAGGGGCTGGGCATGTCTATCACGAACATCCCATGCAAATGAGGTATAACAGACACCTTTACCTTCGTAAGAAATTTCAGTCCAAGGATTACCTGAAAATCATCAAGATGGACCGCTATAAAATTGCATGGTCCTTGCCAATCACCGACTTTTAAAAGGACTTCTCTAGCGACACCGCCTACTGGTTTTGCCTCTGAATTAGCGGCCTTAATCTGGCTAGAGTCTCTCACCAAAGCAAGACCAAGCCGCTGCACCTCGCGGTCAGAAACAAAATTGTGAGTTGCACCTGTATCAACCATTGCCTAGACAACCACATTGTTCAGGAGAATCTGCACAAACATCAACCCCCTCTTTGCTACCGTCTCCTCTTTGCGAATTGCATTAAGGAGTTGTAATGGGTTGACTCATGTTGGTTCGTCAGAACAGTTAGTTTCCTCAACTATGAGGGCACTGAGCTTTTCCTTCTTTAGGCCAATTTCTGGCACAATGAGGGCCATTACAAATAAAACAACCTAAGTCAGCACCTCCCTTTGATGAAGAGGGCTTGTCAGTCTATTTTTCTACGTTGCCAGACTTCTCAACCTTTTTCTTCTGCTTGTACTTCTTAGGGAACTTGGCTTTCCCTTTTGATTCGTTCTCCGAAGGATTTGCCTGCGTCTTGTAGTCAACCAACATATCTGCTGCGGACATAGCAGCGGGTAAGTCCTTCACCCCTTGCTGACGAAGTTCAGCTTGCGCCCAAGTTTGAAGGCCAGACATGAAATTGAACAGCTTATCTTCCTCCAACATATTTTTGATATCCAGCATCAAAGATGAGAATTGTTTCACGTACTCCCTCACGGTACTCGTATGTCGAAGTTTCTTCAATGCATTACGGGCTTGCCAAGCCGTGTTGCTTGGAAGGAATTGCTCCTTCATTTCAGTGGACAGAGACTCCCAAGTCATAATTGGAGGACGAGACTTGTCCTTAGATCATGTTCGCCACCATAATTTTGCATCACCAGACAGGTACATGCTAGTGAGATCTACCTTTTCAGCATCCAGTGTAAGGACAACTTTAAAGTAGTGCCCCATATCTCACAGAAAGTTCTCGAACTCTTTAGCGTTACGATTGCCTGTGAAAGGCTTAGGGTCAGGCACCTTAACTTTCTGAGTGTTTTCACTGCCAGAAGCCAAAGAAGCATTCTATAGTGCCTTCTTGAGCACTGAAACGTCCGTCTCCAGGGAACTCAGTTTTTCCTCCATCGGTCTATGTAGAGACCATAGCCAGCACGTCAACGACTTCGTTTTTCACTCGACTGAAGTGATCAGATTCAGTCTTTTGAAGTTGTTTTTGTGCAACACGCATCTTCTCGAACCG